TGATCCAGAAGGATGAAGTTGCCATTTACAGAGACAGGGAAGCCTGGAGGAGGAGTGGTTTTGGGGATGTGAGGAAGATGGAGAGCTGAAATTTGGACATGCCTATTTGACGCCCAAGTAAAGAGTCTGAGTAGACAGATGGGTCTGGAGTTTAGGGGAGAAGTCCAGGCTGAAGATATAAATATAGGAGGATTCAGTGAATATATGGTGTTTAAAGCCACGAGACTGGATGAGATCACCAAGGGGATGAGTGCATCGGGAAAGGAGAAGTGGTCAGAAGACTGGCCCTTGGGCTCTCTGTCTTAAGCAATCAAGGAAATGAGGAAGAACCAGCAAGGGATACTGAAAGGAGTAGGCAATGAGGAGAAAAGAGCCAAGAGTGTCCAGTGTCCTGGATGCCAAGTGAAGAAGTGTCCCAGGGAGGAGTAAGGGGTCGGTTACACCAAAAGCTGCTTTCTGGTCCAGCAAGGTAAGGACTGAGAATTGATGAGGACTGGAATTAGCCATGTGGAGGCCATTGATTACTATGTTAAGAGCAATTTTGGAGGAGTAGTGGAGCAAAGCCTGACTGCAGTGGGTTCAAGAGAGAACAGGAGGCGAGGAATTGGAGACCGCAAGTACTGACAAAAATTTCTAAAAGTTTTGTGGTATAGCAAGCAGAGAATTGAGGGAGGAGCTGAAGGGGGAATATGGGGTCAAGAGTGTGGTTGTTTTTAAGATGATATAAATTATAACATATTGGACATAATCCAATTGGGGAGAAACTTGATGCACAAGGAGAAAGGGAGAGTTGATGACATGATGTCCTTAGGTAGGCAAAAGGGGACACAAAGAGTAGTCAGGCAAGTAGCATTCTAATGAGCTTGAGGCCTTTAGAATAAAGATGCATTTCCAATATAGTATCATCATGCCCTTTCTTCCCTGAGGTTGATGGAATCAGTGCTTTCAAACTGGCTCTCAACAGGAGAATCACTGAGGGCAGAGGAGGGTGCTTTTACTTTAGATCCTTACCATTGTCACCACAAATGAACAGCTGTAAAATTGCATTTTGTTACAATTAACGATGGTACCGGAATAATCACTCATTCATTCAACAACTATTTACCAGATGACTTTATGCCAGTTCTAGGTGTTATTCCAGATGCTGTGGATATAATCGTGAGCAAAACAATCATGCCTAAAACATTTTTAATAGTTACATTAAAAAGAGATCTGCACGTACTTACTTACAACAAAAAAATGTGTTTGGGGTCGCCTTGAACGGTGTCTTTATGCTTTGTAAAAAACCCTTGTTTCTTTTAGATTAATAGATTTCATTATCTATGGTGTCCCAAAGGATGGTTTTGGAGTAGGTATTTGGGGCACCTTGTCCATTATTTTCTTTGCCAGGTTTTACCCCAATAGCCTTTTTAAATATATTCTTGAAATTTGGTCACTTTTATAGACATTAATAGGATCTCGTATTTGGCTTTTATGAACCATTCTTAATTTCTTTTAAATGTTACTTAAATGAAGTTATATTCTCTCACAAAACCAACCTAAGATCATTATACTATTGAATTTCTCCTCCTTCAATTTATACAGTGACGAGTTCTACGTGTGTAAAAGTAAGGAGTACAGAATTGCTGAGATTTCTTTTCACTAAATTTATATCCTTGAATTTCCTACTTTTTACTAAAGAACACATTCCACCTTGCTGAACCTTTTAAAAGGTCAACAGCCACTTTGAGAGCCTTTATTTGTTTCAGTCTTTTCTGTGGCCTTTTCAAGTTGTTTCTCTGATTTCCTGGCAGTATACTTATTTCATGGGAAACATTCCCTCTAGAGAAGCACAAAGCCTCTTCTAAAGTTCTCTTTGGAACTTCCTCATTCATGTTTGCTAGATTTCCAACTAGCTTAAAGTTTTATTTCACTTTTAGATATCCTATAGTCTGTTAGATGTTATTTTAGAATATTTATGTTTTCCAAAATACAGACATAGATATTTATTTTATTCCTTCTATGTCAGCCTTGCTTTCTTCAGCGCTTACTTCTGAAAGGTGTTTCAAGGGGCACATACTTGTTCTCACTTAGTTTTAAATATTGTTTACTGTTTGCATTTGTAAAGCATTTTATGCTTAGGGTAATAACTAAAGGTACTTTAGCCTTCCCTTCTCATCTCTAAACAGTTCTGTATCACAGAAGAACTCAATTACATCATGTTCATTATTAGAGATCTGAAACAGCATAGCCTAAAAATTTGCCCCTTGAAGCAATTACACACAGGAGAAAAGCTTTTATAACATGGCTAGTCTGTAACATGTGTGTTTTCCACATGGTCTATAAAGTCAAATATTTACTCCTAGTCCTTCTGGAGGCTTCAGTACTGCTGGATGTGAGGGGGTGCAGGTGGGCCAAGACTTGCAAGAACTCATAAGTGCTATGTATCTGCCTCTATGTATGAAAACATTTATAATCATGCCTATTAAATGTATTATCTGATTAAATCTGGAATCCAAACAGGATGAGTAATGTTGACAGGACAAACATTCCAAAATTAATTCAAACACAGTAGCTAAGCTTAAATAAAAGCAGCAGATGAAAATTTCCAAAATATCCATTTACACATTTTTGCCCCAAAGTGAATATAAGCAGATTAGGAACAGTCTAAAGTTCAGAGATATCAGAAATTCTTTAAGGAAAACTATAATGGACTCTAAGTTTCAAAGTGTATTTTAGATGGCTTTTGCTTCTCTAAAAAGGATATTTTGCAGAAAATCAGCATATTGCCATAAAAGCAGAGAAATGAACCTCGAAAATAAAGCCACTGAAAACATTTCTACTACTTCTGTGGGTAAGTTGCTGACCTGCTCCGGTCCTCAGTTTACTCTTAAATATCTGTGAAATGATGAATTTAGTGGGCACACCAAAGGCACTCAATAAATGGTAGACTGTCTCCTCATAACAAGGATTATCATCTATGTTTCCCTTGCCCTCAGTCATGAGAAGGTATTCCAGTCCCTCTGCAAAGTTTTTTAGTATTAGGAGCTGCTCTGAAGAATTGGTAGAGAGATGAAGAGACTGTTCCTACCGCTTTGAGCAAACAGAAAGTGTTGACAGCTCTGGCCAATCTTAAGGGCCCCACCTCGAAGGAAAGAGTGCTTCTGCTGACAGTGACTTTGGAACTTGAGTATGTTTTTCTCATTTTAGTGGTGAAATAACTGGGACTTACGCAACAAAATAACTCAGCTGGCCAGTGGTACTCACACCCGGGTGCCAATCTCACAACCAGGAAGCCTCTCAACCACAGCTGGACATTAGCAAAGGCTTCCACTACCTCCCAGAGTGTGAGGATGCTGGCCAGGCCAGCCAAGGCGGCTGCCCAAGGTTTGAACGGAAACAAAAATCTTTTCTTTAGGAATGAGGTCGGCGCTTTTTTGTTCTCATTTGTTTGTGGAAAGTTAAATGCTGGTGGAGAAAAGGCAGCCTTGCTTAGAGGCAAGGCCAGAGGTTTCAGCCGATGGGCACCTCTACCCTAGCCGTTTCCACTCTGCTTTATTTTCTGCGACATTAACCCCAGTCCACCACTTTCTACCTTTACCTAATTACTTTCTCTGCCAAGCCCTTGAGTTCACTTTTTGGAAAGCGGTTACAAAGAAATGGCGTTTGCACCACTAACCAGAGGTTCCTCCAGCCCAATAGCAGCTGAAGGAAAGGAAACTGTGAGGACATTGTGAGCAGCACTACACAATGACAACAAAAACCGCCATTGTGTGGCCGGGGGAAGGGGGCAGGTGAAACGGGTGAAGGTGGTCGGAAGGTGCAGCCTTCCAGTTATAAGTCCTGGGGATGTGATGTACAGCATGGTGATTACAGTTAATAATAGTATATCCCGTATCTGAACGGATCTTAAAAATTCTCATCCCAAGGGGTAAATTTTTTCTAAGTCTGTGAGGTGATGGATGTTAACTAAACATTGAGGTGATTATTTCCATATATAATCATGTTACACACCTGAAATTAATGTCAATTATATCTCCAAAAACAAACTTTCATCGACTGGGTCCTCCTCCCTCCGTGCCAATCTCATCCCAGAGAATGCAGGCCCGCAGCTGGCTCACCCGAGCCAAACGCCGACACGGCAAACCCGAAAGATGTCCCAAGTAGAAGCATCACTTGGATCCAGGCAGCCGCGGGTCCCCTGCGGGCATCTCTGGCCCTGCGTTCCGGGCCAGCGCCCAACAGGAAGCCCCGCAGGGGAACTCTGGCCAGTTCGCAGCCACAAAAACAAGTCGGGCTCAAGACTGTCCAATGACCAGGCAAGGCAGCGAAACACCCTTTTGAGTCCTGGCAGCTTCTCGGGCTCTACTGCGTTTAACGCTCTAGGAGTGAAACCAGGGCTGATGCTGCCTTCATTCACCCCGGCCACGGGCAGCCTGGCCCCTTCACTCAGGGGTGTGGATAAGACAAGAGGCAAATTGTTGCCCCTCCATTTTCCCTTGCTGCCTTCTCCTAACCGGGAGCTTCAAGCAAGTTCCATGAAAGGCCTCCCCTAAAGAGATCGCTGCGCCCCTGATTGCGTAAGCTCGGCCCACTGGGGGCGATTTTCGGGGGCTCGTGGGCTGCCGAGGTACACCGCGCTCCCGCATCTCTCCACTCCCGCGTCCGGCGTCGCTGGCGCGCCTCAAGTGGCGTCCCAGCCACTCGCACCAAAGAGTTAACCAAGTGGGGCCGTAGCGCCCAGGCTGGCTCTCCCCGCCATAGCAGTGCCTAACCGACCCCGCTACGCGTCTCGCTGCGAACCCCCGCCCCGCGCGCCCC